AACATGATCCGATGATGAGACAAAACAATTTCAATGCGATTAGGTTTCAAATGATCTGTAATATTATAAAAAAAAAGCATACGACATTAATAATAATATTATTACCTATTGTGACGATAAAATGAAATATGATAAATGTACGCCTCAGGCTAAAAAACAACGTCAGCAGACTATTATCGCATCAAAATTAATGCAAATGGGCATTCGGTGAAGGGATTAAAGATTAGCTGTGAAAATAATGCACAAAAGGATCGATCAACATCATGTCCGGTCATCGGTTAAAGCACGGCTGAAGTCTATAGCTCGAGGTGGAAATCCATATTACACTTACATCGTTATGATGTTTTTTTAAATCATTGGACGAAGCGACCGCAATTTTCATAAGTTTGTTCGACGTCGATATACAAACACGAATTCCACATAAAAATAATTATTATACGTGACGTGTAAAAGTTAATAATGTCCTGGTGAGTTTAAACCTGCAGGGGCCCTGAAACCGATGTACATATTTTTAACGAATTCTTTTTCGACTTTAAGAAAGGTTTTTGAATTCTTTCGGGTTTCGGTTAAGGTGAGTACCACACTGAGTCACCATGAAAGGTTCTAAATTTTTTTTCTGTTAGTGTTTTGTCAATAGGTAGTAGAACATAGTCAAACGTTTCATTCATTGTAGGTTTGGCAAAGATACATCAAAATTATTTTCCCACTTTATGTCCACTGGTATATAGTTATGGTTTTATTTAATATATTGTTATACAAGAATTGCAATATTATGATATTATGATGACTGTGAAATAGCAAGCTTCTTCTACAAAACAACAATAATTTACGACTCTCCACACGTTGTCGATTGACTTTAAAAATGATTTAACGTAAATGCTGAAACGGCTGCGGTCTAGAACTGCGATGGTTACCACGGGCTTACCATATTAGAGCGACCGAACACGATGCAATAGCAAGCCAACAAACTCTGATCACACATTCTGATTTACATTTGAATTTCGCGTGGCTTTGTGTGCGAGTTCGGGTAATGGCTGTGTGTCTGAGAGTAAATTCGGATAACAGAAAATAAGTATCTATCCGGTTTTTAAGTACTTATTTTATATTTTTTCTCTCTCAATAATAAATGCGACAATCGTTTAAGCTATCTCTCTCACACACAAATATTCACATATTATGTATTTATGTAGGCACGAATTTAAAGACGATATATAACGCGATACACGCGAATCGCGTTATTGCCCACACATGTATGCACCTAGTGTGTGCGCAAGAGATAGTTCCAAAGTTTCACGTATACAAACGTCGTTGAGAACGGTCTTATAATAATAATATGTAATGTTATAGTGACGAGTGAAAATGTGAAATGGATAAGCTTTATTATGCGTTTTTGTTATACCAGGTAACTCATTTAATTTGTAACCAATCATTACTATTTGCACGTTACTATTTGAACTCCAATTTTTTTAACATACAGATTCGGAAAGTACCTATTTTAAAAAAAGTGTATTCTGATTACAAATTCATGTTAAAGTTTGAGTAAGTTGAAATTTACGAATAATCAAGCTAACTTTCTTTTTTTAACACTCCTATATAATTATTTAGTTCTATAATAGCTGTGTTTTCGTAATTTATTCTTACTTGACTTGCAAGATAAGATAACAAAAATATTAACATTTAAGTTGTCGAAAACAAATTATTAAAACTAAAATATTACAAAATTGATCGTTTAAATTATAATTGTATTTGTTATTTACGTAATAAACATTAGTGTTTGTTTACGTCTTATCTATATTATGTACAAGCAGAATAATATAGTCATAAACGCATAACCAATCGGGGACATCTCCAATATGAAATGAACATATTGTTTAAAATATCTTTACAAATATGGACTACTTATTCGTAAATTTCAACTTACTATAACTTTGTACGTTTTGTAGTGACGATAAAATATAAATAAACTTTGTACATAGACATTTTTGATATTTAAAACATTTTCGTATCCGAATCTGTATAATTGGTTTTCATTGAAAAAAAGTTGGTTGAACAGCATAATATATTAATATACGCGTAACGCAAAGGTTAAAAGTTTAAATGTTCTCAAAAATGTGTATCTAAGTACCCAAGTATACCGTTTATTTCACCAAAAACCCCATTTGAATCCAATGTCTTCCGGTTGAAACATTTAGTGGTACTGTTCGGCGTGAACACAATGTATATAATATATATGTATTTGCATTTTGCGTCTGGCCGAAAGTGCTGTGCTCGTTTTACACAGCCTTATATTATACGTATCTGTATGTACATACACTGAACTTTTTAACGAGCAATATCATATTTACATAATATTATGTAATGGAGTGTAAGTGTAACACAATTAAATATTAATAATGTATGTGTTTAGAGCGAGTCTCGGGAACGTGCACGAAAAAAATAAAAAATAGAACGCTCGTCTGTTATTGTTTTGATTATTGGTTTCAGCTTTAAACAGTACCTGTATGATATGAATGGAAAAACTTGGGGTGCTGAAGCCCCTTATATTTTCAGTAAGACTTATGATTTATGAATTACGACCATAGAGTATAATTTGTTGTATATTAAAATGATCAAATTTTTTCCCCACACGCCGCATTCAATACTCATACTATATAAATATATATTATATACCCAATAATGGATTTGTACTGTACCTACACATTAATGTATTAATATATAAAATATTTAACTAAAAAAAAATATGGCGCTCTATGCATGATCAAGCTCCTCCCTCTAAATTGCGCCTATGACGATACAATGTTTCATGTATATGACTTTATGATTATAACGTGTGGAGCACATTTATAAAGAATCAATGGTACAATTTGTGGTATACGGAAACGACCGTGATTTTGACGGCTAGCCTTCCATATAATATTATTATTAAATTTCAAAAAGTATTGACTTTTTTCAGGAAAGTTCATTTTGGTTAGTATACAACATACTTGTGGATTTGATATGTTACAAAGGTTTAAAAAAAAAAAAGATCACTCAACCTGCACTACGCTGGATGATTCACCGGGCACGATCATCCAGTTAGTACTTTCAATAATGGAAATATTATTTAAATCCTAAATTTTGGAAAGTACATTGCATAAGTACAATACTTAAAAACACTAGATTTTGAATACCATTTAAGGATTATCCGATATTGTGGTGATATAAACTTATTTTTTTAAACGAAATTCACTCTTTTGTTTTTCGAAAATATTAACCCGACGATGTTTATACACTACTTTAAATGTATTTAAATCGAAAAACAAACAAGTACTTTCTAAACTTTATAGTTTATATACACTAAGGGTAGTTGTGATACAAATATTGAAACTAGTTGCAGGTATTATTACATTAACATTGTATAGTTTTAAAAACTGATTCAATATACAAATTTGGTATTCGACTAAATATTAAGTAATGAATGTTTTATGTAAAAACATTTTTAAGGATTATTATGCTTAGTCCGTAATTTTTAATAATTCCAAATTTACCAGATCAAATTTTGATTTAAATGGATTAAAACGATAAAAAAATGATGACTTTAACAATTTTTCGGGGAAAAGGAATCCACCAGTAAGTAAACATAAAAAACTATAATTTGAATAAATGCATTATTTAAGGATACAATTGAGTTGAGCTTGCTTAGTGAATCATGTAGTATTAACTTTTGTATTTAAACGAAATCAAATTTATTTTAAATTTCTAATCTTAAAACTACTCTTCCACTTATCTTAATGCTAATATTAGCCTATTATTTAAAAAATCCACTCGTTCATTATGTAGCACTGTTATCAGATACGTCGTATATTTATTCATCAACATTTTTAGAAAAGTATTCTAATCCAATAATAAAAATTCATATGAGTCTTTAGTAATTTAAAAATAAAAATTCGTTTGAGCGGGTTCATTGACTCACACAATTGAGGAGAAAATAAGCACCAACACAATGTTAGAATTGCTCGCATCTTAAACTTTAAAAATATGTAGGAACTGGGAAGTATAGAAATGAGTAAATATTTCAGGAAACAACGAGTGCATACCTTCATCAGAATCACTCTGCATACATGAAATACTTATAAACGAGAGTATATTCTTACATGACGATTTTATGTCTATTAGTGTCAGCTGCACACGATTTGAGGCCCCTTATTATTTCATCATATGCAATATTACATGCATGAACCTATATTAGAGTCCATGTTATATTATTACGAGAGCAAAAAAATGTTTTTTTTAACTTGATATTTATTAAGAAAACTTCAATTTAAAATAATAGGTAGTAATAATGATACTGTTATAATTTTTATATTTTGTCAGTAATTTTTTGTCATAATAATTTTATAATCGTTAAGTTTTTAATCATTATGTGTGTGTGTTCTTGGTAATGTCAAGATTTTATTTTTTGTTCAAAATCAGTCAAATAGCTGATGGCGAAACGCACGTCAGCAAATCTGCTCAGATAATGATTATTTTCCTACGTTTATAGTCATTACCCTAGGTAAGTGCTATATTATTACGTTAATGTGTCTCAATTAAATATTAATACAAAAACAATTAATTTCAAACGTTGAGAAAAAATTTTTATAAAAAAAAACGCTTTTGAAGCAATAGATGGATCACAAAATACAAATTAAAAATGCTCTACCAACGAATCAATCAATGTATTTCATACAATCTTATATATGTCTATTATGATTGTAGTGCTAAATTCGAGAGACTATAGTTAACCAAGTTCATTTATTTTCTTTAAAAAATATATCGATTGTGTAAACCATTTAAGAAAATAAATACTTTGTTCTTTAACGGCTATTGAGTGTTTGACAATTCTGACTGGGAAATGCCTGAGTCCAGTGGTGCCAATCTTGGACGGTGCAAATTACACTAATAGATATAATATATATAATAATATACACCCGCTTAGTATGGTTGTATACTAGATTCCGACGCATGTAGCACATACAGAATTAAAATAAAAACCTATTTTATTACACAGTTTTTAATAAAGTAAACATCAACACAAATTATTATAAACGTTTATACCTCGTTCATGTCAGTATAATAAGATCCTTTAACTTTGGCTTCATATGCATTTTTTTAAATATTTTTAATTATTATCAAACAATATATTAGTTCAGCAGTTGGTAATCTTTCAATAATGATGTGGTTTTTGTGTCGTCATCGCGGTAGGATCTGTTGTCATTGAAGAGTTAGTTGCTGATGTAGGAGCTGTATCCATTGAAGGACTAGTTGCTGACGCAGGAGCTGTTGCCATTGGATTATTAGTTGCTGATGTAGGAGCTGTATCCATTGAAGGACTAGTTGCTGATGTAGGAGCTGTTGTCATTGAAGAGTTAGTTGCTGATGTAGGATGAGTATTCGAGGTTTGTTGTGTAAGAGGTGAGGGTGAGGAGTAAGGTTCGGATGGACCATAGGCAGGTGGTCTATTTTTAATGAGCGTTGCTTGAATCTTGAATGGTATATTATTTGATGGTATCATAAGTCCATTGTTTTCATTAAACGATTCATTTTTATTGATATAATTTGAATCAACGCGAGGAGTTGGTAAACCTAAACAATTTAAGGAAATGTTTATGATAATACAATATAATATATTATTATAATACATTTATATATTTTGTAATATATTACAACATGTGTACAATTATTCAAGAGAAACGAAGTAGCTGAAAACAATATTATCCTAACTATACCATTCTGAAATCACATGCCAAATATACAATTTATTTATCACTCACTTAATTTCAGAATTACGTTTTCAGTGTTTAAATAGTATTTTATTTTTTATTAATTTGTTTGGTGGTTGGATCGTTGGCAGACATATTTTTATATTCTTATGATAAAAATAATAATGGTTTTAAAAATATATGCTTACAATACAGATACGAATTCATTGAGCCATTTTTTTTAAGAATTTCAGGATATGCTTGTGGGTCCATCATATCTTCCCTCTATGCTCGAAATAACATATAATAACTTATATACATACGGGTTAATGATTAAAGATGTTTGAGGTAGGCCCTGATTATTAGAAAAAGGTCTATAGAGAGGAAAATTGCCTTAAAAATAAAAATTTTATCTTCAATCAGGCTTTAAAAAAGTTCACATCCTTCAGATGAAAAAAAATGATTTGAATTCGACATGAGGCGTGATATAATACACCCATAAACTGCCACTCTAAATATGTATCGGGAAGTATATTAGTGGGAAAAAGTTATAACAGTAAAGTATTATATTGAAGAAGCAATTACAATATAAAATATAATATCGACACCCTCAAATAACATTAGATATAATATTATAAACTTTAAATACAATATTGTCGACTACGAACGTATGTTTTAGAAATTTTAATTTCAAAATACTTTAAATTTAATATATTTTTCCATGATGCACTCTGGTATGTGTGGGATTTCAGTACATTTATACGATAGGTACTATGTATATTATATTTTCTTCGCAGGTATAGTATAATATTTCGGCGCTCATGTCAACCACCGATAATAATAAAATATACCGTCACTATAACACCATAATATATACAATATGTACATATCGTTAAATAAATGAAAAATGTATAGTTATATATTAAATTATAATACTAACAGTTGGCAAGTTGGATAACTGTCACCGCCGAGAACAAGCTGACGACGAGAGCATTCAGGAGCATGTCTACGTGGTTTCGACCCAGGCCGATCTGCATAGATGAATATAATATGCGTGGTATAATATTTATACGAGCTCGACAGTAACGGGCCGCGACAATAATAACTCAAATATTTCCTGATCGGAGGCGGACTGTGCTGTGGAGTCTCGAAACCGGGCGTTTAGGATTTATATAGAGCTGCGATAGTTTATGTGGCACTCAAAGAACGCTGCACCTCGGTGGCTTATCGACAACCGATACCGCGAAGGTAGTAATCGCCGAAATAGATAAGACTCGGAGGATTTGCATGCAATTTCCTCGTTTGATAACAGCATACTACCTAACTTATCTATAACCTACCTAACCTAGCAGCTTTATTGTTTTTGTGTTTCAACAGTTTATCAGCAATGATGAATACGAATAGCGCCTACGCCAGAGATTGCGAACCTATGACACGCGTGTCACAGAGCGACACGCGCGCACTATTTTAGTGACACACGCGAATGTGCAAGTTTAATGATATTAAAGTTTTTGAAAAAAAAATTGAAGGCTTATCGAACTAGTTGACACGCTGGAAAAACAAAATCCAACCAAAATTTTTATTTGACACGCTGGTACAAAAGGGTTCGCCATCCCTGACCTACACTATGCACTTGTATATAAGACAAAGTTAATAATTTGTCAACCTGCAAAAAACGACAGCGTTTTCAATTTTGTTATACAGTGTCACAAATCTCACGATGGGATGATACAGTAACTTTTAAGGAATGCTTTGTCTCTAGCACAATGTAACGTCTGAAACGTTAAGCTTTCTCAAAAACACTATTTTCATAATTATTATATCCAGACGTCTCCTGGGTGAGAGATGGTTACGTTTTAATAATCGATTAGTAAATAACTTTCCTCGTATCAAATAATTTGATAGTATTATTATAAATGTATAATGTCTTCAGGCGGACGCTGTACAGACGTTGATAAATAATTCTTAAAATGCAAATTTAATGAATGAGTTAAATAATATGGTCACAGTGGCAACCGTCTTTTTGAATTGTAATAATACAACATTAATTACTCTTTCTTAATATTCGATCGCCCGGTTATTTGGCAGGGTTATTGATTATTATAGTGGTTTATGGAAATACTAATAAGATACCGGAGTCTAGAGACCGGATAGGTTTAGAAGTAAGAATACTATCTAGTGGATGACATAGGTTTTTTTATATTTAAATTTTAAATCGAGTTATGAGCATTTTAAGATATGCAAATTATTCAGAATGTACAATTTTCTATGTTACGCATTTGTAAGGCGGCTACAATGCATTCTGGGTTGGCGTCATTTTGAAGCGGGTAAGGCTCCGTTTATAAGGAGTTCTATGCAGTCAAAATTTAAGACAGGTATAAAGTATGGAATATAATATTATTAATATTACACTGTATATATATATATATATATATTTTATCATTTCTTAAGGCTTCAACAAAATAGTGTTTTTAGGCTACATATTTTAATCAAAATGTAGACAAAATGATATTTATATACATTTTAGTACAAATCACGATACATTATTAATTACAACGAATTACGTAAGTTTATATAATGAAAAAAAATAAAAAATATACTGATTGTAACACTGTGTTCTCATCTTTGAAGGCTTGGTGGAGTCAAAGAGGATTTTTGAGTACCTTGCGTGCTCCGGTGTACTGGGGCACATGATGAAAATGCACTGTATGATTTTTAGAGTATATATTCGTAAATGTTAAGATTTCTTAAGCCAAATATCAATAAACGTAATAATTCCAAATTTGTTATAAGGTGAAGGCAGTTATTGTAGGATCTAAAGATGATAAGATGAAAAATCTAAATCTGTTTTCAAAACGTTAACAGGTTATTAGATCAATCCGTACGTTGGAATGAAAACTAGTTTTAAATGCGAGAGAAACTGTTCGTATTGAATTAAAGTAAATAAAATATTACAACAGTAAGTTGCAATGAGTTTGAAAAGGCTAGTAGTAGAAATCTTTAAATTTTAAGTTTATGATAGATACGATGATGTATAAAAATATAATGTGTGTTAAAACTTAAAATTAATAATAAAATATCAGACATTTAAACTTTAAGTCTCGTTTTTCAATACTTTACCCTTGGGCCTTGACATTTTAAACAAAAAAATAATAAATATGTAAATTCTACCTTATAAATAAAGTACATATATTATATTGTACATTGAATTTGAATAGACAAACACTTGAAATAAGTTTTACAATATTGTTTTTTACCAACTGCAATAGGATATGTGTATGTGAAAATGCGTATAATCGAATGCTAAAAAAAATGTTATTCACGAATAAGAGCCTCTTGTCTTCGTTTTCATTTCGGATTTCACTGACTCTAATATAGATTTTACTGTGAATCTTATAAAAACATTCAACACGGATATTTCTATACGATATTACTTGCCTCGCAAGAGCACGACTGATCAAGTTGTCGGTGTTGGAGTAAACGAGATTTTCAAAAAATGTTTCCCGCATCTGTCGATATGTTTGTTTTTCATCCGTGCCCTGATTGATTCGTTCCAGTAGCTTATAAATCGTTTTTCAAAAGGACGTCCACTCCTTATTTCCGTCTCCTGCGAAACCAGATAGGCTCCCCTTGTTCACTATAACAACATTATAGATATATTACATACGATAGTTCACGACTGTTGTCACCGCTAGTGTCGTAGACCAATCACTATAATAATCATTAAACAGTGTAATGATATTTAATGAGTATAATGACGATATCGGTGCTTTAATTATTATTATGACTATTACACCACTTGATCTCCGGCGATTACAGCAGACACCGAGTGGTGAACTTGCAAATGGAGTAATATCATAAACGTACTGTCTGCCGAAGACGAGAAAACCACTCGAACACACGCGTGTGCTTTGAGAATAATTTAGAGTTCGGCGACGCTGAGTGAAAACAGTTTTACAAAATCAGAGATTATCAAGATATTATTATAACAACATTACAGTTGTCTACTTATATAGCGTTCCGAATCTCGTATAATACTGCAATAATGTTTGATAACCTGACCAGTGGCTGCTTGTGACAAAATTTAACAATGCTGTTGGTGACCAAAACACATGCACCTAGTACATCGTACATGATATACAATGCATATTGTAACACAACAATTATAATACGCGTAGTCTACGCTATAATGAGATGATCAAACGCATTGAACTTAATATTTTATTAAATAGGCACATACATAATATTGTGTATTATTGTACCACGATACGCCAATATTCATATCTTAATATAATAACAAGCTCAATCACGAGAAGAAGTATTGTCGAATAAAATCGTTGATCGCATTTATTTAAATGTACCTAACTAAAAATATCCTAACTTTTTGTTTTTAGTATAATAAATGCCTAGGTCGTTTTTTAGATATTCTCGGAGCACTCTCTGAGTTTGTTGGGCTTAATTTCCACAGGCAGAGCTTTTATAAGTTTGTGCTGCCAACTATATATCAACAGCACAACTTTTTGTTAGTGAATAAAAAAAAATTAATTCAAACGTCGAGAAAAAATTTTGCCAACAAAAATGCTTTTGAAGCGTAGTAATAGTTGGCTAGGTGAAACTTAAAAAAGCTCTACCGACGAAACTAAAGTCCAACATAATTGAGGCTGCAAGAGTGTCCAACAAATTGTATCTAAGTATTTCATATAAAATGTATGTCTGTTATGATTGTAATGCTAAATTCGTAATAGTATAGTCAACAAAATTAATATATTTTATTTAAAAAATAATATCTATCGACGTTTTTTGAAATTTAATTTATTTGTTATTCAGATCGTATTGAAAGTTTTGCATACATTATGGGAGTTTATGGTGTTTTTCACAATTTTTGAACACCGGAACTGGAACCGAAACCAAAAGCTTTAAAACACCGGAAAAAACAGTAACTAATACCTATAAGACGTTAAAAAAATAGTTTACAAAACCCAAACCGAACCATAGTAACCATAATTTAAAACTCATATCGGTTTCTTTGAATTTTATAAAGTTAATTATACTATTTATTATTCTAGTATTTTCATACGAAGAAAATATTATGTTCGAATTTATTGATAAAAATCCTGATGCTATTACTGAGTATTACGAAATATTAATAGGAAACACGAATAATATTTTGATTATAATTTATATTTTATATTATTATTTAACTTATTGATTCAAAATTACAAATACAACAATTGTTATTTTGTTCGCCCCTATGCGGCTATGCACGACTCTAATGTTGTAATATGAAGTATTTGTGTATATTATTATTTATTTATGATATTACAATTGTTAAGTATTCGGCCCATCTGCGTCCGTCCCGCAGTCATCAATCGCGTACCTGTGCCATTCTCATCAGTCTCCGATTTGTGCTTATACTATATGTCAATGTTTATTTTATACCTATTGTAAAATAGTGTGATGTTATTGTAAATTACAATTAAATATTAATGTAATTGAATAATGATCTCAACCATAATATGACAATTTATTGACATCATAATATTACGCTGTATGCAAAAGTAGGTACAAGTCACCTAAAACTAGGTAAGTACGAAATATTCAAGTTAATGACACTAAATTAGTTCTGCTGAACGTAAATTATTTGCTTTATCTGTATATTATACACTAATTATACAAATCGGCCATATTTTAGAGCTTTAGACTAGGCCCTCAATAGTTAATAGATAATAAAAATCGGGTCTACAATAATTAGACACAGGAAAATAAAATGGAAATTTTCAAAAACCGTTCTAAAAACCAAAACCGTTCTTAAAACCGATAAATTTGAAAAACCTTTTTTGAAACCAAAATCAAAAAACCGATCTTAAAACCTAAACCAAAACCAGGAAATGTAGAAAACCGTTCTCAAGAACTGAAACCGTAACCGTTAAAATTGAAATCGGTTTCGATCCCTGGTGTTTTTAGAAAAAAATATCTATTAAGAATCAGTTAAGACAATAGGTACCTGATACAAATACATTTTATTACACAGTTCTTAATAAAATAAACATCAAAACAAATGATTACACAAGAATAAACCTCTTTCATATAAACATAATAAGTTCGTCCAACTTTGGCGCCATATGAATTTTTCGAATTTGAATTACTGTGGAAAA